TTATAGAATTTAGGTGCCTTTTGAACTGGGGATGCCTGAAGATCTACATTTTGAGCAGTATACAGATCTAGCACTCCACATGTCCATGTGAAGTGGCACAATTTAAAAGATTCCTTTGGCCTGAATCTTGGGCAAAACTTAACCACCCAAATTCTTCTGTAGATTTTAGGCAGTATCTTTCACAGTCTCTCCTAATACTTCCCAGGGCCCTCTGTGGCTTGAAGATCTATTCATAAATCTCCATCTAGATACTATGTATTTACACAGGACTCTCTGCAGGTCTAACCTCAAGTGGATGCAAGTTAGCCTGATTTCTCAGATACATCACCTAAAGTCACTAACAATACCACAGGGGGAAAAAATGGTAATTTATGGAATCTGTATTATCTCTGCATAATCTATAGGCTTTTGCTGATACTGCTAAAGTGAATTGTTACAGTACAGACTAAACCTAAGTGCACAGTGCTTACATGTCATGGATCATTAGGAAGCATGAAAGAGGATAAGTCACTCTGTTTCAGTGGTAAGGAGAATACTATTTACATTATACCTTATACCTTTTTCTGTCCTCTAAGTTGTTCTATGCATAACATCATGCTATGCTAATAACATCAGCAATAAATTGACAGTTATTTTAGAGCCATAAATATACATCGTTTTGCAAGTAAAAAAAACAACAACAACAACAACAACAAACAAAACAAACAAACAAAAAAAAACCATTCATACTCACTCAGACAAATATAAAATATAGGGAGATGCATTAAGATTGTCAATAGTATCAGAATGGAGAAGGATAGGATGGGAGTCAACAAGAGAAAGATGGGTTATGAACATCTGGGAGAAACAAGACTGAGAGAAACACCGGGACTTGTCTTAAACTAGTATGGTATGAAGGAATCCACCAGCAGTTATTACTCAGGAAGTTCTGAGCTGTCCTGGGGGGTTCAGTTCACACTGGATTCCTTCATTTTCCCCCTGGGGGTATTGAAGACCAGTAAAAAGAAACCAGGATTTCCTGTATCAACTTCCCTGGCACAATATCCACTAGTGAAATTCCTACTTCTTGAACATGAACCATATGATCTGAAAAATAAAATCTTCTGACAGAATGCTAAATTCTACTGCTTCTTAAACTGAGACGTGTCTCTCTACAGGGCTGTGTAGAAGGTGAAGAAAACTTCTAGACTTCTGTCAGCTCTGTCCAAAGAGAAAAATTCAGTCTGGTGCATCAACTGATCCTCATAGTATCCTAATGCATAAATCCTTTGCTACAACAATTCCTTTCCCTGCTCAAGGAGGACAAAACTGCTAAAAGAGACAAGAAAATGAAAACCAGAGAGTGGTTCTAGTTATCAAAAGAAAAGGGAAAAGCCAATTATGTCCTGAGTATTTCCAAGCTGACTATCAGAACATCTTGCCATGGACCTCAATTTCTTGAGTTTCAATAAACTTATTTTTTGGTAAAGTAACATTAAGTGTGCTTAATTTAAGTCAATAAATCTCTTAATTTTCTTGAACAATGTACTTACTAATTAGAAACTCCTTTCACAGTTGAATGTCGCAATGTTTATTGCAGAGGTAGATACTTCAAACAGGTCATGGCCAGCTAGAAGATTCCTTGGCTTGTGGAGTTTGAGCTATTCATCTCCTTTTCTGGATCCCTCTCTGAGGATTATCGTGTTCTCAGTTTGCTTGGCAGGCCTATTTTTCCACACTTCTATTGTCCTCTTGTAGGTGTAGTCATCTACAATGTAATGAAATTAGAAGACTTTAGTGTTATAAAACTATGTTTGAGCAAAAAATATCAGTTTCTTTTGCTTTCATTTTACACTGAGAATCTATATAGTAAATTTGAGGTCTTGATTTTCTATTTCATTTCAGTTTCTCTTCTGTAGAATGGGAATTACTGTACTTTCCCATTTCCTAAACTGAGGTTAAATTCATCAGTATTTACAAAACTCTAAGATCCTCAGATGGAAAGAGGCACAGATTTAGAAGTGTATAAACAAACATGAGCAGAAAAACTGGAATAACAACACTGTTTTTCCACTAGAGCTTACAAGTTGCAATCAACGTATCTTCCCCAGCATTGTGAAATACCTTCCCTATGACAGAGATTCTCCCTTTGTAGTCTACCCGTTCTCTTATGACACTTAAGTTGTAGCATTTTAAAAAGCACAGGAGACTTTGGAAACATTTTTAGGGTCAAAATAGCAAAAAGCTTATTCCAACAAGGAAAAAGAGTAGAGGTCAGGAGACAGGAATTGTGTAATATGTCACAAAACAAACCAACAGGAATTACAGGTATTAAGGAAAGAGATCCACTACCAATCCACAGCTCTTGGACACTGACAGATTATTTTGGTGATATTTAGTATATTTGAAACATATTAAATGAAGAGCAGTTGGTTCACTTTGCACTAGCTCCATGCTTTTGACAAGTTTTACAATGTGTTTGAAGTCAAGCTGTTTCATTTCCATGAGATTTGCAATCACACCTCAGTCTCTACATCCCAGTGAGAAATTCTTAGCTTGATGGAAATTCCATGCTACATTTAAAGAATATTTTACTGTTGTTTCCCAAAAGGTAGGACTAGCAATTACTTCTGCTTTGGAAGCAGCTCTAAAAGTTGGACTTCAGGTACCAATTAAATATTTTAAGTGCTACAAAACATATAGCCTTTCTGTACCTCTACAAGGATCCATGTCAGGTTCTCTACAGAAGCATCACACTAGCAGATCATTTCTCAAGGAACATTCTCTCCTGATATCTGGCACTTTAGAAATCAAATCTCACCCTCTCCCTATTTAGTTTTGATCTTCAGATATTTTCTGCTCTTTGACCTAGAAATACTCCTTGCCGCACTGTAAAATGGAAGGGAGCTTTTCATTCACAGCTGGCTCTAGCTATTAGAATTATTAGCAAATATTGGGTAGACCTCTGTGGAACATGGTGACATCCTCACTCTTACAGATACTTCAGTGGGGTCACCTCATGCCGTGAGGATATGGCCCCAAAATTCATCTCAAGAACCTTGCTAACTGGTGTTGATTTACTGTTAAAAGTACCCTTGATGTGTTCTAAAGGTCACATGAAATATCTCACTGAAAATTAAAGGCTTGTTTTTGAGATCTTTTAAAAGGGAGGGGAGGAAGAAGCAAAGGCTGCAAATGCCCTTAGAACTGCACTTTACCAGAAATTGAGGCAATCATTAGCTCTCTCAGCTCCGGGCCTAACTGAGCTGCAGATACACTAGCTTCCCTGCCAGAGAGTTACATCACGACCACAGAAGTTAAATAAAACCTTTTCCATTCAGTAATTTTAAAACAGCTTAATAGAACAGATTTCGTATTAACAGGGTGGTTTCTTCCTCATAGCAGTGAGAAACATGGAAAAATTGACCTGTGCCCAGTTTAGTCTTGACTTGCCTATTCCAGACTCCTCTAAAGAGATCATTTCACAGTCACTAAGCTGTGACCCTTCACGTGGGTTCGTTTGGATTCCTTAAATAGACAGGTGTCCACAGAGCACACAGATTGTCTCTTCTCATCTGGTTTCTCAGAAGAACTTATCATTGAACCAAGTCTGAATTGCACTCAGTTGACAAGGACAGGCAAGATGTGCTTTTAGTGGAATTGGTTCAGAAAAAACAAATCACAAAAATAACAACTTCTGGTTGGGATATTTCCCGTAAAATGAACCAGCTTTGAATCAGCTTGAACCAGCTTTAATCTTAAAGCCCACCTAGAAATGCTCTGACCTTGTGGACTATGTGGTATGATCCCATAGAAGAAAATCACTAGGAAGGGAAAGGATGTAGAAAAATCAGCGAAACTCTCTTCAGTGAGATGTCACACTTCTGTACATGTGTTGATCACTGCCACCTTTGTCTTTTAGTTATTAATTTGACTTTGAGACGTGCCTTTCTGGGTCTCAGATTCAGTGCCAGGCCCACCTTCTGTATATTTCTCTGCTTGTCCCGTGTCTAACACACCCATCTGCACACTCCACATCTTGCCATCAGACACTTAAACAAAGGGGATTAGGAGCTGAGTCAACAAATGCCACTGGAACAAGATGGAAAAGGTAGTGTGGGGCAGGAGTAGAGTGAGTTCTCGCAGTAGCATACCTGTGTTTCCTGGACATTCTCCAGTTTACAGGTAGCTCTGTCCTGCAGCAAGATCCACAGCCTGTCTGGCTTCTCCTGCAGGGAAAGGACAGAGAGCTGAGCATAGATGTCCTGGGCTGCTTGATCTGTGCCAGCCCCTCTTCTGCCTTCACTCAGCTTGAAACCCTTTGGCTGTGTCCGAGGGTTACTGTGCAGATTCCAGTTAAGAGACTTGTGGCAATAAATGATTTTTTTTTTTTTTTTTGTCAGAATTTAAGGGCTGCCAACACTAACAGCGAAGGGAATTTTGCCTTCTCAGGTGATTCACTCCCATGCCCTTTTCATAAGTGGGTGGTTAGTCAGATGGGGCAGGAACAGCCCAACTGCCAAAACTTGCTGTTCCTCGGTCCCTTCGCTTTTCAGTCCATCATTTCAGAGTACAGAATCTGAAGGAAAACCAAAGTGGTCGGTCACCTGCGCGCTGCGAGCACCCACCCTCCCTCCTCCTGCAGATGCACCCCGACCACTTTGCACCGGGAAAAATAAATAAATAAATAGAAGTTCCCAAATCCCCAAGCCAGAGACAGAAGCCGGTTCAGGAGCCGTGCAGGCAGCTTCTCCGAGCAGACGGGGGGGCCGCTACCTGCGGCGATCCCGCAAAACCGCGGGGCCGGGGACACCCGCTGGACCACGGCAGAGCCCCCGGGGACCCCCACGGGTGGCGGCGCTGGCTCGGCGCCCTCTGCCTCGCCTCACCCCTGCTTGAACCCCTTGCCCCGCAGCCTCCCCGTGCCGGGCCGAGCCCCGGCAGCCGGCCCCACCTCACCCCACCCAGGGCTCCCATTGGCCCCCGATGAAAGTCCAGCGAGCCTCCCCGCCGCTCTATAAATACATAGAGGCGGATGGGGAGGCTGTCACCGCCGCGATGGGAGCCCGCAGCATCCTCCTCCGGCATCCCGCCTTCACCTGCAGCCTCGCCGCCGGGAAGCCTCGGGCAGCCTCCTCCCTGTGCGCCCTGCGGGGCCGCGGGCACCCCCTGGCCGCCCTGCCCGGACCCCCCAGCTGGCCCCTGATGGGCAGCCTGCCCGATGTCCTCTGGAAGGGGGGGCTCAAGAGGCAGCATGAGACGCTGGTGAGGAGGAGGGAGGGATGGGGGAGATGGGGATGGGGGACATGGGGATGGGGATGCTGGGGATGGGGATGCTGATGCTCTGGGGAGCGCCCCGCACTCACCGTGTTTAGGGTTTGGGGGTGATGGTCTCTTCTGCGCCCCCCAGGCCGAGTACCACAGGCGCTTCGGGAAGATTTTCCGCATGAAGCTGGGGGCTTTCGACTCGGTTCACATCGCAGCCCCCTGCCTGCTGGAAGCCCTGTACCGCCGGGAGAGCTCCTGCCCCCAGCGCCTGGAGATCAAGCCCTGGAAAGCCTATCGGGACTATCGCGACGAGGGCTACGGGCTGCTGATCCTGTGAGTGGTGGAGGGGCTCATTTCGGGGTGGGCAGGGACCGGGAGTCCCCCCAAAACTCCGCAGGGACCAGGACCCCCCCAGGGCTCCTCTGCCTGTGGCTGCGGTGAAGGTGCTGCCGGGGATGCCTTGTTGCACATGCTGCGGGGGTGTCTTCTAATCCGTCTTGCTTTTTTTTTCCCTTCTTCTTTTTAAAGCATCATTTCTCTCTCTTTTCAGCCTGGCCGTTTTTAATGCAGCCAGGGAATTTAATTCATCCTTTTCCTCCTAGGGAAGGAAAGGACTGGCAGAGGGTGAGAAGTGCCTTCCAGAAGAAATTAATGAAGCCCAGCGAAGTTGTGAAACTGGACTCCACGATCAATGAGGTGCTGACACATTCCTTCTCTCCCCCCACGGCCCTGGAAACTTAGGGAAAAACAAAGCAGACCGAGCGGCCTGGTTCACCTGGGCTGCTGCTCATCTGCTCTGCAGTGATAAAACCATGAATTAATGCTCTGAAATCCCCCGGGGAATAATGAATGCAAACTGATTATCGGGTCTGACCAAATGTGAGACCACACAAATTTATAGCTGAGACTCACCACCTCCACAGAATAGTAAGATTATTCCACAATTATATGGGCTCTTGCAAACAGAGGCTTTGTTTACTTTTCATGCATTCAGTGTTTTTTGCCTTTACCTCTTCATTTTTGGGTTCCTCCTGCCAGGGAATACCTCACCTCCCTCTTTAATATCCACATTCTTCACTGAGTGTGAGAAACAGTTTAAGTGGTTTTCTTTTGTTTGTTTGTTTGTTTGTTTTAAAATTGTGAAGCTCCAGCATTATCCCAGTGTCAGACTGAAGCATTTTGTTCTTGTGGAAGAAAGCTCAGTTCACTGAAGTACAGACAGTAATAGCATCAGCAGTGTAAAATCCAAACCTACATTAACACAGCAGTAAACAATACTGTTAAAGGAACAGGAAACATAAATAATTCTACATGTATTTTATGCAAGATTGCCATCTGTTTAAGGCACAGTTGAAATGTTAATTAAATAGGATTTTTATCTATTGGTGTTATCTTTTTTTTTTTCCTTTCTCTTTTCTGTCCACCACTTGAAGGTCCTAGAGGACTTCATGTATAGAATAGATGAAGTTTGTAACCACAATGGACAAATGGAAGACGTATATTCAGAATTCAACAAATGGTCATTTGAAAGTAAGTCTTTTTTTTTTTTTTTTTGCCTGAGAACAGTATGCATTTTGTACCTGCAGTGACATTTCAGTTGAAGTCTAATTAGTGATGACTGTAAACTACTATTTCCAAACTATAAACTAAAGTATCATGGAAATTATGTTGCAGAAAAGCCAGGGATCATTAATATATGTAAAAATCATTAGCTGTTACACAAACTCTTCAGTTCTGGCCAGTTACCTATGTGGCTTGTAAGAAATTTCAAATATTAATAGTGGTTTAAATCCAAAACTTGGGGGTATCACAGTGCATTTCTCCAGAGTGAGATCAGGTAGCCCATGACCACTTCTGTCTGATATTTGTTAACTGTCAGCAACACAAGATCAATGAAAGGACCCAATAACAGCGAGGAAGTCTTCATTGTAGACAAGTATTGGAAAATCCTAATTAAAACGTTTTGCATTGAGATTGAGAAACACTGGACAGAAGCCTTCATCTTCAGAAACCTCTCAGAGCTTGCTAAGGAGCCTCCTGCCAGCAGTGACAGGGCAGGACAAGCTGCAGCAGTGGTTTCTACAAGGAAGGGTGGTCAGGAGAAGTGCTTAACTGAGTGAGCTCTGCCAGACCTGCCTGCTTGTGGCTGGCTCATCTGGCAACCTGTGTAATGAGTTCCTAAAAGTATGTGTAGTGTTTTGTTTGGTTGGTATTTTTCCCCTCCTCTCCACTGTCAGTGGTGATGGCTGCTTTTGGAAAGTGAAAAATAGGAAGCGACGGCTCAGAAAAATACTATATTTAAAAGTGAGTGGGAACGGGTGGGCTGTGGGATGCTGCCAGTGTTAGCAAGTGGTTTCTGGCTGTGGAAAGAACTAGGAGATGCTGGACTAGACAGGCTCTTCAGCCCCTCTTTTCCTGCAACTTGGTTCTTGTCAGTAGGGTTGACCAATAGCTTATTTTCCAAATATGCCACCCCTGTTTGGCAGAATGGTCTGCTGCTCACGTGTGAAGATCAGTGGTGAATTCTATTTGTGAGGAAAGTGCTCTGGGAATGGGGCGAATGTGCAGAAGGTATTTTGGAGTGCTGTTCTCACAGGTGTTTGTCATAGGACAGAGAACATTTTTCAGAAGGATAACCAAAGCCACTGCCTGAAAATAAATGGTGGACACTAAATTATACAAGTGAAAGGGTGAATAATAATATTGCTTAACAACAGGTATCTGCCTGGTGCTGTATGGAAAGAGGTTTGGTCTCCTACAGCAGGATGTAGAAGAAGAAAGTCTGAATTTCATCAAGGCTGTAAAAACGGTATGGATGAGTCTTTACCTGGGGCTGTACCGATTTTTCTGCTGCTGTGGGGGTATTGGTTTAAATGGGTCACCTGGAAAAAAAGAAACTCAAGCTTCTGTGTTACATGTGTGTTGGCAGCCTTGTACACCTGATGCCACACTTGAATGTGCAGAGCTAGTGCTGAGCATCTGACTGTCCCTTTTATGAAGTGCCTAAACCTGTATGGGTAACGGTTGTGTAGACAACAGGGTAATCCCAGAAATATAGTAGTCGGGTTGGTTGGTTAACTTTCCTCTCCCTCCGAGGCACCTGTTGCGCAATGCTGCTGTTTGTTGGGTGACTCGGAGTTGTGTGGGATTATGCAGATTTGCTGCTGTGCATCTTGCTGCAACTTGGCCTCTGATGCTTATAGCCCTATTTTTACCCAGCTAAAAGAGAGGCATCTGGTCTAGCTTAGTTTTTTAGCTCTACCTGTTTTCAAGGGTGAGAGGCACTGCCAAAGGGTGGCTTGTTCATTTCTGGAACAGGTGCCTAAAATAGGTAGTATGGTAGGTAGGATTTTCCTGGTGAAAATTACCTCCTACTTTACAGTCTAATTTTGTTCACATTACAAATAGATTTTAAAGATTTCAAAAACTTTCTTCACCACAGATGATGGCTACTTTTGGAATGATGATGGTGACCCCCGTGGAGCTTCACAAAGGTCTGAACACAAAAGTCTGGCAAGCTCATACTAAAGCGTGGGATGACATCTTTAAAACTGGTTAGTTCTTTAAACTTGACTTCTGTTCTTTCCCTCTTGTTGGAATTAACTTTTTTCATATTTGTTACTGCCATATAATGCTGTTAATTGCTATTTCCAGCTCAGATTAAGACACCTTTCCTGCAGCTAACTACAGACCTATTCCAAGCATAGGAGCACTGTTTTCTCACTTAGTGCTGTTTGTGTGGCAATACCCAGTCCACAGGGAACCCCCAGAAATTTGGAAACCAGTAAAGTCAGAGCCCAGTTTAATCTGTCATAAATCACTGGAAACTGTATAAATGTCTCTAAAGCAAGATATACAAGTTATAAAGAGGATGATTCTTGTAGGCTGCTATTGAGAAACAAGAATTTTACCTGTAACAGTTTGCTTAAAGAAAAAACAGATTTTCTGAGCAACCTGGAAAAGAATTCTGAGTCTTAAAACAAAAAAAAATTTAAATCATAAGGTATAGTTTGGCTTTTTGATAACATTTCCTGTCTATTTAAAATGAATCAGCCTCCAAGGTTGCAGAAATTACTCTAACTCCAGATATGAAGCAAGCTTATATTGTCAATATATTTGACAGTGATAGCTCTAGCTAAAGATTAAGAAAAACTTTGGCACTCAGATGTGGCACTCAGATGATTGTAGTGCTGAGAGGTATATTTTTCTTAGGTATTTGAGTAATTGATACTTCAGGAGTTCTAGTCATGCCAGCCACATGTGCACTTGTTTTATAGCTTTTTAGTCTATGGCTGTTAAGAAAGACACCTTAAACCTGTTTTGTTCAGAAAAAAAAGTTTGTTGCCTTTGCTTGGCATGAATAGTTCCTTAATTAGGAATTGGTTTTAACAATTGGGGTGTTGATGAGAAAGGATGGGTAAAATCTAGTTTGCTATGTTTAAATACAAGAAGTGCATAACATTTGGAATCTATTGTTGCCTTCCCATAGTAAATGAGAAGCTTACACTTCCCCTCAGGAAATTAAGTACTAAAAGTTCTTTGATTCATTAACACCTTGATCTCTTCTGAAAATCCAAGCCAATAAATTTTACAGACTTGTATTTCTGTTTGCTAAGTATGTCATTTCACACATCACTGATTTCCTTTCCTAATTTTAGAATGGTGAACTCCCAGCAGCTTACAGAAACTCTTTCTGTTCACAGTGTTTTGTTTTGTTGGTTTTTGTTTCTTTGTTTTTTGTTTTGGTGGCTACTTGTCTAAATGAAAACATCATTATTTATTCAGCACAATGCTCTTTTATTGGAAAAAAAGAGCATATGTTGGTATCCTCTTTCAAAATCCTGCATGTGAGCCATGTATTTTTTAATTTTTGTAGTATTTTAACTATTATTTTCCATTGATTACCTCCTGATACTCCCTCCTCAGCCAAGCACTCAATTGACTGTCGGCTGGAAAAACATTCTGCAAACCCTCATGAGGATTTTCTGTGCGACATCTACTCTGGAGGACAACTTTCTAGGAAGGAGCTGTATGCTGCCATCACAGAGCTCCAGATTGCTGGAGTTGAAACGGTAAATTCAACTTCCTTGTAGAAAGTTTTTAAAGTTAACGTCCTTGCTTTCTTCCATAATTGAACCAACACAAAACCTGAGAGTGAGCTAATGCTGCAGTTGCTTCAGTGGCCTAAATTCCTAGAGAACGACTGGGGGATGGTTCCTAATCCATTAGGTTTACAAAATACTGTAAGGCAGTGGCCAACTATAAATGTGTCTTTGAACTTCTGGTAACTTCTTTTTTCTGTCACTAGTTGGAAACCTTACATTTCTTTTTGTTTTGTTTCAGACGGCCAATAGCTTACTGTGGGCTTTGTACAACATTTCACGCAATCCACATGTTCAGCAGAAACTTCTTCAGGAAATACAGAGTATTTTGGCTGCTAATGAGAGTCCAAGTGCTGAGAACTTGAAAAATATGCCTTACCTAAAAGCATGTCTGAAAGAATCCATGAGGTAAAATTCTCAAATAACTTGCAGAAAGCAACATGACCACAAAGTTTTACCAGCTATTGCATACTAACTTTGTGTGCCTCGTTATTTAGGGTTGTTTAATATACATATAGGAAGAAAAAATGCTAGAAATCTGACCCATTTTTTTCTTTCACTGTAGAGTAACACCATCCGTACCTTTTACCACTCGCACTATTGACAAAGAAATGGTTCTAGGAGATTATGTACTACCCAAAGGGGTAAGTCAATTAATTTATCTTATTAAAATATTTTATCAATTAACTATCCTATAAACAATTGAAGTTAGTTGGAAATTTCAGTCCCAGAATGACTTTGCCAAAGGATGGATTTTGGCATCAGGCCTAAGTGACAAAGTCAGGACAAGAATTCTCTTAAGTGGGAAAACTATCGCTGCCTGCACTGTTATTTGGCCAAAAATATTTTGGTGTTCCATTTCAGGTTTTTTCTTCCAAAATTTTCAATTATTTTCTGAAGAAGCTATGACCTTTCCCGTGTTTGGATTAATTTCCAGAGAATTGCATGAGTCCTTCTGAGAAAAATGCCTTGCCTTCACTGCTGCTTTTTTTCCACTAACAAGCTGATTCACTTGGTAGCTCTAAGCCAATTCTAAGTTGAGACTGTCTCTATTGCTTTGTTTGTAGACAGTACTAATGATAAATACCCATGCCTTGGGTTCCAATGAAGAATACTTTAATGGCTGGACTCAGTTTAAACCAGAGCGCTGGCTTCAGAAGAACTCAATAAATCCATTTTCTCATGTCCCATTTGGCATTGGGAAGCGGATGTGCATTGGACGTCGCTTAGCAGAGCTGCAGCTTCACTTGGCCCTTTGCTGGGTAAATACTCCTCGCATAACATCTTTTACACAATGTGTGGTTGTTCTATACTTCATCTCATCAGAAGATGTGGAAGCTAAAACATGCTAACTGAAATGGTTGTGTTTCAGATCATTCGCAAATACCAAATAGTGGCAACGGATGATAAGCCAGTGGAAACACTCCATTCAGGAATACTGATTCCCAGCCGGGAGCTCCCCATTGCGTTTCACAGGCGATAAGGTATGGGCATAACAGTCTCCTGAGTAATGAGACTTTTCTTTGAACCTCATTTAAAATCATCTATTCACTTAGACTCGTATTTCTATGCTCTCACAATGTGAGACTTATTAAATGCCATCATTCTTCATTACTTTTAACAAAAAAACATATGTGCTGCAAAAGATCACAATATACATTCTTTTTCATTTTAATACAGCTTGCAAACTGACAAATGAGAATTCTACTGCTGCCTTTCCTGAACAAAATATATATTGACTGGGAAAGCCAAAACCTGTGGTAACTGGTGGAGAAACTGCAACACACATGCCTCAAACAACAGAAACAGTACCAACAAAAGCTCCTATAATGTTTTATTGGAAAACGTGGTTAATTCAGCTGTACTTGGCAATGCTAAAAGGAAAGAAAAATAGTCTGCACATTCATATACCTACACAAATACACTGGCTTAGTGCAGTGGAGGGACTGTGCAGGACGGAGTTTGCTGTGAGTTATAGAGTGTTAGATATGGTTGTTAGTGTACAGGGAAACTATTACAGACGCAAGCTGTTCAGTAGGCTAGCCTGAAAAAAGCTCATCTCCAGTTTGTGGGTATCATAGAGGAAATCTGGGGGGATAGCAATCACTACTGCTCTGTTCCTGTTAGCTCAGGGTTGAAGAGCTTCAAGAAGTCAGCTTAAGGGTAAAGAAACTTGCTTAGTCCTTATCTTTTTTTTTTATTATTTTTTGTATGCGAGGCCTTATCCTTTAATGGAATCACTGGAATCCTATGGGTTCTGCCACTATAAAATGATGATTATCCTAACAGGATAGTTCCTTCAGCAGATAAGTAATATAAAATGCATGTTTAAAGCATCACAGGAAATAAGGAATCTAAATATTTCCAGTGTTGTTTTTTTTTTCTTTTTTTTGGTGGAGATTTCAATACCTAAATGTTCAGATATTTCTATATCTAAAGGTTAAAATTGTCACTGCCCTACATATACAATACTGTATATTAACTATTATGGCCACAAGTGTATTTTTCCTATGATGCAGTTTCAAGTGACAGTTTATATACAAATCCATGAATGATTTCTTTGTTATATTCTGAAATAATATAAATTCTTAGCATTTGTTGTCTTCTAGGGTGGTTTTGTTTGCCTGTTTGTTTTCCTCTGTTATTGTCATATATTTTCATGCATTTACATGTTTGAGTATGTGTAAAGCAATCTGTGCATTATTTGAATCTTTCTAGACAATTTTGTAACAGCCAGTTTTGTAATAAAAATATTTTCTATAAATATTCAACCATAGTTTTATAATAAAAGTCTTCATTGTGTTACAAAAAAAAAAAAAAAAAAAAATTGTGTATTTCATAGTAACTTCTTGAACAAAAAATTGCCATGATATTTCCCTCTCTCATGCTTCGTTGAGCTTAAACTGCTCAATGCTTGATTTGTGTGGTATAATTGCAGCACAAGAAAAAACTTGGGGTGAGACTAATAGAAAACTTGTACTCTGTTCATCTGGTGTTTTACATCTGCATGCCTATAAGTCTTACATCAACCACTGATGAAACAAACACAGCTCCAGCACAAGCTCAGTTCTGTCTGTTAGCAGTGTATGAAGGCAAAGGCTACATAGCTAAATGATGATAAGTGCATTACCTATAGCTATACCCCATAGCCTCCAAAGACTCCAAGAGATTTTGATTCTTAACATGGTAGACTGAAATCTTAAGCACCATTTAAGTGCCCCATGATATCCCAGATTTCTATTAAAGCTTTCTGACTCAATCCCATACCTAACCCCACAAGAACTTCCAGTCTAGGTTTTCCTCCAGGACCTGTTTCACCCTTGCCAAGCCCAGTTCCTGATGGAGGGGGTGCTGGGCACTGCCTGGTACAGGACCAGTCCTGGGCATGCAGATCCCAGGTTGCAAGTATATGGGTAAAGCCCTGCAGCACACATCTTTGATGCTCAATGCCTCTTGTGCCATTAATTTTTTTGCTATTCCTTCAGTCCAGGCTAGGCTGGGTATTCTTGAATGTAACTCCTTCCCTACAGTTCCTTTCCCTTGGTGTAATCTTATCAGGCATCAGTGAACACGAGCATTACAGGGCTTTCTGCATCCCTGTTGCAGTCTGAACACGTTTCTCCCCACCATGCACAGCACTGTGGGCTCCAGGGATGAGGTTGTTACATTTCTCTTGCGCTATGACAAGATAAAATCAATCTAAAGTTTTGAGAAAATAATATGAAAATAATTCGAACCTTTGCAGGATCAAAAGAAATGATGTATAGGGGGAAAAATAAAAGCCACTCTGACAGACAGCCTGGTGGTTCCTCAAAGAGCAGAGCTGACAGTCAGCAAAACCACATTGTCTTTGCCAAGTTAAGCCTCCCTCTGGTTGAATGAATGATGGTGTAACAAAAAGTGCACAGTGCTGCATGAAAATGTCACTTTTCTGAACCCCATATTGTAATGTGTACTTTACGGAGGGTGCAGTTTGTGCGGCTGAAACCAATGTGACAGCCGGGAGCACTGTGCCTGGGAGCCCGGGGCAGGCAGGCTTGAGGAGCACAGCTGCTCATCCAACTGCTCGATAGGGCTGGCAGCTCATGCTGACGTGCATGTCCGTGTAGGACATCTATCCAAGCTGCTATGGAATTAATAATATACACCAAGGCTCTTCTTATAGTATTAGAAACTAATATTATTTCATTAGAGGCAATGGAACTGTGCCAGTATAAAACAAGTGTTAGTAGAAAGTCAGGATTATTGTTCAATTCGAGGCATATCACATTGCTTTAAAATGTTTTAATTTAACCTTTAAAGACAACCAAAGAGAAGAGGTGTTATCAAATTGAACTGACCTTGACAGTCTAGCAATCAGGCATTTCGAAATCTTTTATTGCTTCTGTATTTTAAATAGCAGGTTCGTGTTTACTGGGCTGCTTATTAATTTCACTCTTTAGATTTAGTGGACACAAAGACCTACACAAGCGCTTCTGTAAGGTGTTGACCAGCACTGTATGAGCTGTTGTACAAATGTGTGCTGTCTTCTTGATTTCTAAAGGTACAAAAAACACTGATCTGGAAAATTTTGTTCCGGAAGCTTTGTGCATTTTCAGATTCCTGAAGTTTTCAAAGAACTTCATTAATCTGCTACCTCAAAGTAAATGTCCAAAGCAATTTACTTAGGAAATAGGTAATTATCAAACTGCACAGACAATGAATGACCAAGCCAGAATTTCACATCAAGGAACATGTCTGGTCTTTGTATTCTCATATTTCAGAAGTGTGAGAAGCAGCATGATGTTTCTGAGATTAATAAATGTCTAGGAAACTTACTTATTGTTAAATAAGTTGATATTAAATATTAAATATTGATATTGAATTTACTTATGTTAAATATTGATAAATTCATCTTGGTTCTTTGTTTCTTTGAAATGCTATGCATTGTCAAAACTACTAATTTGGAGGACAAGGACAATATTACTTCACTGCTACCATTTGTTACAGTTACTGCTTAGAGGAAAGTAGTTGGATCATAAAATGAATTGAATTTGTTGGCCTCCCCATTAACTTTCTCAACAAGGAAATGAACTAGGTTTACACATCCAAAAGGAAGTTAATTCTGTTCAGGCTTTAGGCGTATTGGTGGGAATGATACAGACAAAGTTGGAGCCAAGTCTGTGCTTTTTTAGGGAGAGCAAATGCCAGTTTTCAGGACTGACAATCTGGCATTTTTCATATATGTTCTGTTTGTTATAAACCAGCTATTCTATAGCATTTTCTGAGTCATTCTCTACATACAACTTTTCAATGCTCCGATTAAACCACAGATAATGTGTTCTAGTTTGACTTTTTCCATACTGGCAAGGATATTTGTTCTCAACAACTAGAGGCAGAATTAATGCCATTGTCAGTGCTTTAACTGATGTGGCAAAATAAGCCGAGCCCAGAGAAATTGTTTCTAATAATTGTTGATAGCTAAAGTTTATTAAAGAATAAATTTTAGGAGGACCATTCAGCACATGATTAATTTTAAATATGCGAAACATCACATTGACCTCTGTGGGACTGCATATGGATGTGTAGGTTTTTGATGTAATTATCACTTTTTATAAAGGGAGGATGTTTAACAGTTTCCAGCATGTCATTTGTGGCAAGGATATTGAAAATTCATGTAAGGGGTGTAGCTTTAGAAGAAAATGCTGCCTTTTTACTTCAGAGGATTTAAACAAAAGAGCCTATTGAGGTTGAAACTGCAACAGTCTCATTAATCTCTTATGTTAGTTGTGTGTGTTATGATAATTTGTGGAATGATATACCGTGGTGTGGGCGTCTGTATTCAATTTTTTTTGGTGTGTCTTTCCATGCATGTCTTGGGAAAAAGTATTAATGTTACCTTGCGAAACTGAGCATTATAATTACTCACCAAAATTTATTATATGGGATTTCTGAGTATCAACTTTAGAGAGAATAAAAATCACAGACTGCTGGTAAATTGTTTTGTCACAAAAACAGCATGTGGCCTGGCCTTCCTGAGGTCTCTGCTCTCAGTGTTGTTGGTTCTCCGCTCTCTTGTGCTGTAGTTCAGTGCAATTGCACAACTTTCATCCCTTTCACATTCCAAGGTATAAACCAGGAATACATTTGTTGACACTGAGAAATGTAAGCATGAAACTGGTATCAGCCACAAGAGAATCAGTGCCTGCAAATGCTTTGTGCAGAGTGTTACTGGTGTGGATGAGACCACACTTGAGATGTGGTTGTGTATTTCAGTGTACAGGTTTCAAGACAACCCAACTCTCTATATGAATATTACTGTTCATCTCTTTCTTGTTTCTTGATGTGAAAGTTCACTACAACCTCAGACAATGGCTCTCTGGACACTGTATTCTATATCCCTTTATATTCCTGTGCTAGCAGAGGATTGACTACACTGATTTTCCTCTCTTGATCGTAGTTTTTTGATCTCTCTCCTCTCAGCTGTATGATCAGAATTCTGTGGCTATAAAACAACATAAACAGTAAAACTTAACCTATAGTATTTCGTTCCAGAAGGAGGTTTAGAAATCTTTACATTGTAGGGTTTGGTTAGGGCTGAACACTTATGGAGCAATCTTCCTCCTGACAAGGAAAGCAACAATGAGACTTCTTTATGAGACAAAATATTTTTCTCCAAGGGACAATGTCAAAACAAGTGTGGAATGGAATGCATTTTATAATCAGGATGAATTATACTTTGCTTTCTTGGGCATGTTCCTCCCGACAAGTTCTAACTCTTTGCCTTTAATTGTTAAGTGTGTTGAATGAACTCCAGGCACTACGTGTCAGAGAAGAAGGAAAGGCAGCAGAGGCAGCCGCTGGCAGGCAACACAACACAACAAGGCCATAAAGGGGAACTCTGAGTATGAGAATTACCCCCCGGTCTTCCCAAATTGGTATGCACACACCTGATACTTTACCCTCCGCTATCAACTTAGGTGCCCAGAAACTTGATAGTAAATCAAATAAATCACTGTTATGATCTGATTCATCCTGCTATTGAACTGTGTTCCACATGAAATAGAGATAGGAGGGAAGCAGAGGCATGGTGCAGATTTTGCTTACCTTAAACTAAAGGGTATCCTCACTGTTAGATGGACTTTCAGCAGCACTGGACTGCTCAAGGTGAAGAAAGGAAAAATGTTCTCTGCATTTAATGGGAAGAAAATGAAGGAAGTATTTAAAAAAATAAAAAAGCATTCTCAGACAATATGGGTTACACTTGTCTAGACCGGAAAAAAAAACACAGTTACCATAAACAAACAAAAAAAATCTCATCTCAGTTACACCAATGGAAATCACAAATAGTTTTGTTTATGAGGTCAATG